TTATAAGATTATAAGAACATATATATATATATATATATATATTATAAGAAATGCTCAGTTAATTAAAAGAATGAAAAATATATATAAGAAATACTCAGTTAATTAAGAGAATAAAATGAAACAAGTAGGTGTGAAGCCGAGAACAAGAAATTGTCAACAAGAACAAAACAAGAGAAAATGATTTCATTTAAATTAAAAAAAAATGTTAAAAAATGGAAAAGATCAAAACCAATGTAGCCAAATAAAGGCAACCGGATTGGTTGCCGTGTTCAAGAGCAAATATCTTGGGATGGGCATCTTTTAAGAGATCACAAAACCTGGATGGGACATATGGAGTTCCCGGATTTTTTATGTCAGCAGGCTGTACATAACAATACGTGCAATGCATTGAACTGAGCAGACGGAAAGACATTTTTCAAGGGACAAGCATTACAATCTTTACATGGGTCTCAGAAGGTGAATTAACAATTGAAACCAAAACTAAGCTGCACAGAATTCAGCTTGGGAGACTTGCGTACTGTGGAAAACATACAGAAAAACCAAATCAGAGACACTAACTGTTGTTTCATAAAGACAATCTGGAAGCCTTTTTTCTCTTCCATTCACTGATGAATGATACAAACTTCTGCTCTTTTTGTATTTCTCCAACACGAATTATGTGAGCCATTTGAGGCTCTGTTTAAGAATTTATTTCCACAAGCAATTGTATTGAAGTTGGTGGAAAGACTGAGGGCCGCTGAAATGTATAATGGGGAGCTGAATCACCATATTCTTATCGTTCCTTTTTCAAGGATAATTCCCATCAGTGCCCCCTGAACTTTGTGTCGCTTCCCTTGCCCCCTCAACTTTAAAAATTCACCTTACTACTCTAAATTTTGGATTCCTCTCACTTCACCATTTTGTTTCATTTTCCGTCAAAAGCAAATGGAAAAACACCATGTGCCCTTATGTGGGTGCTTCTATGAGGATAAAATCACATTTTTCCGTTTGCTTTTGATGGAAAATAAAACAGAGGGGGGTAAAGTGAAAGAAATCCAAAGTTTAGAATACTAAGGTAAGAATTTTTAAAGTTGAGGGGGCAAAGTGGGAACGACCCCAAAGTTTAGGGGGCCCGAATGGGAATTATCCTTTTTCCATGGTACGAGGGAGCATTCTTCTAATCTAGATTTTTTTTATTGCACTTGTCAGTGGCAAAACTTTATGTTGCTTAGATTAATGGCCCAACAACTATTATGAAATTAACTATTCCACCATAAATGATTTCCTAGTGTATGCATAACTATGAAACACCTAAGCTGCATACGCGCTCAGTTAAAACTCATAAATCAACCACAAGGTAAGCCTTTCTCATAAAATTTTAACCAAGACATATCTCCTACAGTGTTCGGACTTCGGACAACCAAAAATTGATGAACTTTCAATAGCAAACAAGGCCAACACATTAGTCGGCAAACAGATAGAGTAAAAAGCTTTCTATTGTTTAATAATGAGCTGAAATGCATTCTTTTAATTTTAGTCTCCAGATTGAATTTTAAAAAGTTACAGAGCTGTAGATCATAAATCACATACAACATGTTTAACAATTACGATGAGTTTTTTGAGATGATTTTTCATAAAATTTGTGTTACCCCAAACTCCTAAAGCTAAAATAACACCCTAGTTTAATCTTTAATACCATAATTAGCCTACCAAGGTACGTGGCAGCCAGAAAAAGTTTTCTGGCCTTAGAATACAAAATCAGATGCCTAAACAGTGCCCCCTTTGATAATGGTACCTATAAGCGGCTCTAAAAAGGTAGCTCTTGTTTTGTTTATACTAGCAGCATATAAAAAAAGTTCACCTACTTAAAGAAAGGTTAATAGCTCTAGAGGTCCCAAAATTTTTAAGTTTGTGACAAATTAGTCCTCAAACTAATTTTATGAGATAAAATCTCCCTAAATTAAAAATTTTAAAAATTTAAAAAAAAAAGGTGAGCAGTCTGGTTATTCCGTCATCTCGCTGTTAAAAACTAACGTTTCAGTCACCTGCAAACATGTGAGTGGACAGAATGATTGATTTACCAAATTAACCATAATGAAGGTTTATTTATGCTATTTCTTGTGTTCATTTCGTATGGATATGAACAGTTGAAATTCAAACTAGCCGAGTATTAGATAAGTGATATGCTCCTAGAATCGTGGGATAATAGCTAAGGATCTGTTGTAAGCTAATCCCTATAAATGTGTAAAGTAGTTCCTAATATCTAGGAGGTCTCTTAGGATAAGATCTTATCTTTTGCTTTTGTATAAATACCCTTCCGGTCCATTCAATTAATAATAGGAAATTCAGATTATTCCAAACTTCATGGTATCAGAGCCCTAGGTTCTCAAAACCCTAATTTCCTAGCCGTCATCTCTAGCCAACCCTCAACATGGCCGAATCCGACCAAACCTCCGGAGACTCCTCATCCTCTGTCTCTCAGAATGTTTCTTCCAACCCCCAGACCACAAATGACCATAATCTTCCCCCCTTCCCCAGCCACAAACTTAATGGACACAACTATCTTCAATGGTCTCAGACCATGATGATATTCATTAGTGGACGAAGCCGTGATGACTATATCGCCGGTGCCGCTGTCCAACCAGGCACCAGTGATCCTAAATTTAGGACATGGAGAGCAGAAAATAATATGGTCATGTCTTGGCTAATCAGTTCAATGACGACAGAAATAGGTCAGTATATCCTTCTCTACAGGACAGCCAATGAAATCTGGGATGCAGTCCGTGACACCTTCTCTAGCAGTGAAAATACTGCTGAACTTTTCCATGTGGAGAGTATCCTCCAGGACCTACGACAAGGAGATCAACCAGTAACCACCTACTTCACCACTTTGACGCGGTATTGGCAGCAGCTGGATTTATTCGAAACTCACGAGAGGAAGTGCTCGGATGACAGCAAATACTTCAAGAAAATAGAAGAGAGGAAACGCATCTTCAAATTTCTAATGGGGCTGGACAAATCTCTTGATGAAGTACGCGGACAAATTTTAGGCACCAAACCTATTCCAAGTCTTCATGAAGTGTTTTTTGAGGTACGTCGGGAGGAAAGCCGCAAGCGAATTATGATGGGACGATCCGATTCAATCCCTGATGGATCAGCCCTTGCGGCAACCCGAGAGAATCAGTCTTCGTTAGAGCCAGCCGCTCTTGCTATTCGCGGGATACCACAGAACTCTTGTCGATGACGCCCTTGGTGTGACCACTGCAAGAAGCCAGGCCACACGAAAGAAACATGTTGGAAGCTACACGGAAAACCCTCCGATTGGAAGCCAAGTCGTAACTCTGGAGATCGTGACAGCCGTGGAAATATTGCCACAGCAGAATCCGCAAGGTCTCAAAGCCAGGTTCCCTTCACTAAAGACCAACTGGAAACACTGCAACAGCTGATCAACCAGGCACAAATCTCGGCAGAAGGGTCATCACAGGGCACAAGGAATCTCGCACTCCATGTAGCCAAGTCACCGTCACCGTGGATAGTCGACTCAGGAGCCTCCGACCACATGACAGGTGATAGAATGCTATTTACAAGTTATATTCCATGTCAGGACTATCAAACAGTCCGAATAGCCAATGGTACACGTTCACAAGTGGCTGGACTTAGACTGTAACCTAATCTCTGTGAGCAAATTGACTAATGAACTCAACTGCGAGACTAAGTTTTTTGCTAAATCTTGTGTTTTTCAGGACTTGAGTTCGGGGAAGATGATTGGCAGTGCTGACCTATGTGCAGGCTTGTACCTTCTCAACTCAGCCACCACCTCAGTTTGCTCCCAGGCCAATAAAACAGATGTCAGCCCACAATGTTGGTCTACCAATAGTCTAGAATCCATGAGTCACACAAATAAAGATAGTGCAATCTTAATGTGGCACTATAGGTTAGGTCATCCAAATTTCATGTACTTGAAACACTTGTTTCCATCATTATTCATCAATAAAAATCCCAAGTTTCTTCAATGTGATATTTGCCAGTTATCTAAACACACCCGAAGCACTTACTCACCCCGTCCATACAAACCAACTCATCCATTCTCCCTCATCCACGGTGATATTTGGGGGCCAAACAAAATTCCAAATATCACCGGAGCAAGATGGTTTCTACTATTAATAGATGATCATACCCGTATAAGTTGGACATTCCTCATGAAAGACAAGTCAGAAACCAGCCAAATATTCAAAAACTTCCATAAGATGATCCAAACACAATTTCAAACAAACATCCAAATCTTCAAAACAGATAATGCCCGGGATTTCTTCAATTCCATCCTTGGTCCCTACCTCACATCCTATGGCATTGTTCATCAAAGTTCATGCGTAGATACCCCACAACAAAATGGGGTGGCTGAACGCAAAAATCGACATATCCTAGAGGTGGCCCGATCCTAACTATTTCAATCCAATGTTCCCAAAAAATTCAGGGGTAAAGCAGTCCTCACTGCCACCTATTCATAAATAGGATGCCCTCACGTATACTCACATTCAAAACCCCATTGGAAACTCTCCTAAAGTGCTACCCAAAATCACATTTGATCACACAAGTTCCCCTCAAAATTTTTGGATGGACTGCATTCATTCATATTCATTCTCATAATCGTAGTAAACTTGATGAAAGAGCACTCAAGTGCATCTTCATGGGGTATTCATCAAACAAAAAGGGACACAAATGTTTTTCACCTACCACAAACAAATTCTATCATATGATGGACATCACCTTCTTTGAAAACAAACCTTACTTCTCCAATTTCGAGCTTCAGGGGGAGATTAGCACACATGAACCACAAAATTGGGACTGGACTTCCCTCATTGACTATGGCTCACTTTCTCCCACTCTCTCTGGCCTACCTGATCCGAACATATCCTCATCAAGTCCAGAAAGCTCTCGGCCAAGTCCACCTCCTCCTCGGCCAAACATGTCTCCTCCACCAAGTCCATCTTCAGCCAATTCAATTCCATATCCCAATCATCTCACTCTTCCTAATGATGCCATAAAAGTATTTATCCGAAGAAAGCACTTGCCTGAACAAGGTCAGCAACATCATGACCCAATCCCGAGTTCAAGAAATTCTGAGACAACACAAGGTAAAGTGGATCTTAGTATGCAAATTGACGGTGAATATACAGAGAAGCCCGCGGAACAACACTCAGACTTAGAGCTGCCCATTGCTCAGAGAAAAGGAGTCCGGTCATGCACTAAGCATCCCATCTGTAATCACCTGACCTATGCAAACCTGTCCCAAAAGTTCAGGGCATTTGTGACAGCTCTCGACAAAATTCAGATCCCAACAACAGTTCAAGAAGCCCTACAAGTCCCGGAATGGCGAGCGGCAACCTTGGAAGAGTACAGTGCACTTGAAAAGAATGGAACATGGAGTCTAACACCTTTACCGCCGGGAAAGCATACGGTTGGATGCAAATGGATTTTTTCAGTCAAACAAAAGGCAGACGGAAGAATAGACAGATTCAAGGCACGATTAGTGGCAAAAGGATTCACACAGTCATACGGAATTGACTATCAGGAGACATTTGCACCTGTAGCCAAATTCAATACGGTACGTGTTCTACTATCTATTGCCGTAAACCAAGATTGGCCACTGCTCCAATTAGATGTGAAAAACGCATTCCTGAATGGAGATCTAGTCGAAGAAGTGTATATGGATATCCCTCCTGGGTTCGAGGATGATCACACAAAGGGAAAGGTATGCAAGCTCAGAAAGTCACTGTATGGGCTTAAACAATCGCCCCGAGTATGGTTCGACAGATTCACAAAAGTACTAAAACTTGATGGCTACACTCAATCTCAGGCCGACCACACTTTTTTCATCAAACACTATACCGGCAACAAGGTAATAATCCAATCGTGTATGTCGATGACATAGTACTCACAGGGAATCATGAAGAAGAAATACGGAGACTCAAGGCCCTCCTTTCCAAAGAATTTGAAATCAAGGACTTGGGACTCCTAAGATATTTCCTGGGAATGGAGGTAGCAAGATCAAGCAAAGGGATTTCAGTCTCTCAACGCAAGTATGTGCTAGATCTACTACAAGAAACCGGCATGAGTGGATGCCGACCAGCTGAAACCCCCATGGATCCCAACACGAAATTAAAACCTCGGACTGAAGAAAAATCAGTGGATACAGGGCAGTATCAACGCTTGGTAGGAAGACTAATCTACCTCACTCACACACGCCCGGACATAAGCTTTGCCGTAAGCCGTGTCAGTCAATTCCTAAACAATCCATCCGAAGATCATATGGAGGCAGTAACTCGCATTCTCAGGTTCCTTAAAAGGGATCCAGGGAAGGGACTATTATTCAAGAAGACAGCCAATCGGCTCTTAGAAATCTACACAGATGCAGATTGGGCAGGGTCTCCAAGCGACCGAAAGTCCACTTTAGGGTATTGCTCCTACGTCTGGGGAAATTTGGTCACATGGCGCAGCAAGAAGCAGCCAGTGGTAGCCCGCAGCAGTGCCGAGGCAGAGTTTAGGGCTTTAGCCCAGGGCATTTGCGAGGGAATATGGCTAAAACGACTACTGGATGAACTCAAAATTGCCATCTCAGGACCAATCCAGATGATGTGTGACAACCAATCAGCCATAGCAATTGCCAAGAATCCCGTCCACCATGACAGGATGAAACACGTGGAGATTGACAGACACTTCATCAGTGAGAAAATAGAAGGCAATATCATATCACTGAGTCATGTTCCATCATAACATCAAGTTGCAGACATTCTTACAAAGTCCCTCTTCAGGCCCAACTTCACAGAACTGAGCTCTAAGCTAGGTCTAATGAGTATATACCGCCTAGTTTGAGGGGGAGTGTTGAAATTCAAACTAGCCGAGTATTAGATAAGTGATAGGCTCCTAGAATCGTGGGATAATAGCTAAGGATCTGTTGTAAGCTAATCCCTATAAATGTGTAAAGTAGTTCCTAATATCTAGGAGGTCTCTTAGGATAAGATCTTATCTTTTGCTTTTGTATAAATACCCTTCCGGTCCATTCAATTAATAAGAGGAAATTCAGATTATTCCAAACTTCAAAAAACACACACACAAGGAACCCCAATGTTCAATCTAACTCGGGAGGCAAACACTACAAACGCCCAAGTATCAAAATCAAAAAGAAAAATCAAGAAAAAGATTGTTTAGTCCATTTTGCCTCGTTCATTTTGCTGAATCGAGTTTTCAATTCTAATTTTACTACAGTTAAAAACTCTCACAAAAAGTCACATATAACTTTTTCTGCTACAGTTAAAAGCTCTCACATAAACTCACATCTCAACTCGAATTGAAAACACGAATCGGCGAACTGAATGAGACCATAAACTCTCCAAGCACTTATATTTTCTTCCCACCGCATAAAAGACAAATCAACAAACAACAAAAGCAAAAACCCATTCTCTCCCAAGAACCAAGACCTTTAATTTCTTCAGTTCTAGTTCCACCGATTCTTCCTTCTCCTTGTGTAGCAGAGATGAAGGTGTTCTTCAATCTCATCTCTCAAGTCTATAATTATTTGTCTAAACCCAGAAAAAGAAAAGAAAAAAAAAAAAAAAGAAACTTCCTTGCTTGACGATTTCATCAGCTAGAGAAGCATTCCCAGAGTTCGCATCAGCCCATGAGGTGCTCCTTGAGCATAGCTCCACATAATCACAAAATCTACACCTACAGAGACCATAGCCCTGTTGCTTCTGCAATTTTTGCCCTCTTCTTCCCCCAAATTTCTCTGCCCTAAGCACTAAATCCTCCTCAAAGGCGGGCCCCAATTCTGGGAAGAAGTTATGCCATTTTTACCCCAACATCTACCCACGTGCATTGCATGTGATGGAACCCATGACGTTTTAACGCCGAGATGACGGAATACATAGACTTGCTACTTTTTTCAAATTCAAGGAGATTTTAGCTCATAAAATTAGTTTCAGGACTAATTTGTCACAAACTTAAAACGTTTAGGGACCTCTAGAGCTATTAACCCTAAAAGAAATCCCCATTCTCAAATCAAAGAAACAAAAATCTATTCAACCATCATTACAACCAAACAATGTGCCGCAAGTTTCCCAGACACATTCAAAATCTAAAAGAAACTGACCCGAGAAAAACCAGGAAACAAAAGTCACAGCATTTCCAGGAAGTGCACAAATTGGAACAGAATGAAGATAGCTGATTTTTTATATTAAAAATGTAAAGGAAATACGTAAAACATGCAATAAAGATAATATTGTACCTGTTAATCCTAAAGGCCTAAGGTCCCAGAGTAGCAAATGGTTGTCTGTTCCTCCAGTCACCAGCCGGCATTTTCTTCTCAACAAAGCAGAAGCTAGTGCCTGGGCATTTTTCTTCACCTGGTGCATATATGCCTTGTACACAGGAGTAGCCACTTGTTTTAGAGCAATGGCAAGAGCAGCAATGTGGTTATTGTGTGGTCCACCTTGCAAAGCTGGAAAAACAGCAAAATTTATCTTCTCCTCAAAGTCATAGTTTTCACTTTCATCTCCTAAAACTGCCCCCCTTTTCCTTGGCTTAGCCCCCTTCCTGTAAAAAATTATGCCTCCTCTGGGACCTCGAAGACTTTTATGAGTAGTTGAAGTAACAATGTCACAGTAATCAAAAGGATTGTCACATGCCTATTACGAAGCAGATCAAAAGTTACTAAGAAAACATTAAATTGGAAAGCAGGAACTTTGCTAGCTGGCTAGCTTACAGCAGTGGACTTCAAATTTCCAAACTAAATTGTATAATGAAAACTTAAAAGCATGAGAAAATTCAGTTTTTTCACAATATTAACTAGCACGGTAACACCATAAAACAAATCAGGCAAACAGAAATGATAGCAAAATGCTACAAGTTTATTCTTCCACAGACATCCAATCAAACCCAATTAAACACCGTAACATGCATCACACAACCTATTGATAAAATTCCCTACTGCAATCTAAAAATCACGGACGAGTAAGATGATCAGAAAACTACCAGTTAATACAAGGTAGATCATATACTTCCAGCACATGCACACAAATACCAATGTCAATTGATCTTAAGAGCAGGAGAAAATAAGTGTTTTAGCTGCAATGGAGTTGATCATCTTTTTTATATTTGTGTTAATACCATACAGAAAATATTTATTTTATGTATGAGAAGCAATACACTGCTACGGTGCTAACTATACAACAGGCTATATCAACTAGGTCAATACGCAAAACGCCATAACTCATCTAGATTCTAGGGTGACACATAAATAACTCCTCCAATACACATTTAGTCGATATACACCACTTAAAATACAATTCTCCCCTACAAACAAATCAACTTAACCCTCTGTCATATAACTTATAAACCAATAACACGTAAAAGAATATCGTTTTTTTGATATCTTGATCTTGAAAAATGCTTTGTTTTCCACGTGATGTGCACTATATCCCAGACATTGTTAGTAGCTATTAAATTTTTAATCAGAGCAATACTTTTGAGGCAAATAGACTAGAAATTAAAAGAGGGACCCACAACAAAAATGAAGAGAGAATCCCTATGATACTGAATATTAACTATTTCACCAATACTCCTCTTCTATAACTAACATGGAGCCAAATGCCATTAGTTTTCCATTAGTTTTTAAAATGCAATAACACAGACACTGCCATTAGCAAAAATCATAGACACCGCCATTGTAATTGCCTAGCAAAATCTGTGGTGCATAGAATCAAATATCAGGTTTAAACTCTCAAAGCAATAGGATGACTATACAAGAAATTTCATATCATGAAGAGTCAAAAGACTAGCAAAATCCACACCTTGGCTGCAACAAAACCACTGATTTGAGCCATATCACACATTAGAACTGCTCCGCACTTGTCGGCAATAATCCTAAACCTCGCATAATCCCATTCGCGGGGATAAGAGCTCCCACCACAAATAAGAATCTTCGGACGAAAATCAAGTGCCCTCTCCTCAAGCTTGTCATAGTCAATAAGACCGGTTAAAGGGTTCACCTTATAAGGCAAACTCTCAAAGAAAATCGAAGCCCCAGAAACCTTCCTCCCATTCGGAGTATAGTATCCATGGCTGGTGTTCCCTCCTGATGGCGTATCCAAACCCATGATACGATCACCAGGCAACAGCAACCCCGTGTACACTGCAAAATTTGCCGAGGTACACGAGTAAGGTTGAACATTCACTCCCCAATTTTCCGAATCAAGATTGAACGCAGCCAATGCACGCTCCCAACAGAGGGTTTCAATCTCATCAATGTACTGATTCCCGCCGTAATACCGAGCGCCAGGCATTCCCTCCGAGTACTTATTGGTCAAATGGCTTCCGAGGGCTTGCATAACAGCCTTACATACAAAATTCTCCGAGGCAATGAGCTCAATTCCCTTAAATTGCCTCTTCTTCTCCTTCTCCATGATCTCAAACACGTCACGATCGGCAACCTCCAGCGGCTGGTTGCCCCACATCCGAACCGCAGCGTTCCTCGCCTCAAGATCAGGCCCAAAGGAGACCCGCTTAGGAAAACCGGTGGTACACGACGAAGACGACGATTCGCTGTCCCTTCTCCGCTTCAAGCACATGGAGTGCCCCAAAATCCTAAACTCCTCGACCTCCCTATCATCCTCGTCGTTATCGACGGGTTCAGTCCTCTCCGAATTTCCATTCTCCGTCCTCATACCATGCTCCGCCTGCGGCTCCAACAACTGAAGCGGCACTGGCGTAACCGAGTAGTGGTCGCGCAGGCTCGAGTCCAGCTGAAGAAAGATAGAATCATCGGCGATTTGCGTTTTTGTCGGCGGCGACGCTTGCGATGAAAACCCTAGCGATAGGGTCGACCGAGGGTGGGACAAGTCCATGGCGAGGATCAAAAATCCAACCCTAACCAGACTGCGACGACGGTGATTATATATATATATATATATATATATATATATATATATGTATGTATGTATGTATATAAATAGGTGAATAAAAGTGCGGAATTAGGGTTGAGAACAGCAGTAACAGCAGCAGAAACAGCGACAAGGGAGCTTGAACAAGGAGCAGTAGCAGTACTTGAAGAAATTGGAGTTGGAAGAGGATGAAGACGAAGCTTCCATGGAAGGGATTATTATGAGTTACAAGCCCTAACCCTAACTCTGCGCCACGGCAGATGCAGAGAAAGAAGAAGACGGCGGATTTCTATAAAATCATTGATTGGTGGAAGAAGAGGAGAGAAGAGGGACGTCGTCGAGATATTAGCTGGCTCTGGCTGTGATATTTTACTGTTTTGGTGGTGGGGAACTTATTGCGAAACGAGAATCCACCGGGTCTTAAGTTGCAATGTATATGTTTGTGTTTGTGGGCTAAATTATCAACCGGGCCGAAAATTTAGGAACTTGTAATCCCGTTTATTTTATCGATTTAAGTTTAAAATTTAAATTTTATTATAGTAAAATATTCTCATAATCATATTTAATTTTTTTATTATAATACAAAACTCTCGTATAAAGTCGCATCTCAATTCGAATTAAAAAATTAAATCAGCAAAATAAACAGGCCCAATCTAATATACTAAGAAATCTTAGAAAATAAGAAGAGTCTCTAGAGATCAAATTTTTTTAACCATTAAATTTATGTATTTTTTTATTTTTACGTGATTTTATGTAAATTTAATAGACAAAAAATTAAACCTATCGATATTTTAGCCTAAGAATGTCCTAAATACTAGAAAATAAGCCTACATTCAAATTTTATATTAATAAATAACCAATTTACTAATGTATAAAAATTTGTATGTATTTTTACGTTTTGAATCTTTTATTTTTTAATTTTACCTGTTTTCATCTTTTTTCTTTAGATCTTTTTTCCTCTTATTTCTCTATCTGTCGTCCGTGAATTTGCTTGTATCTCTCTCATTGTCATTGTCCTTTCTACCGTATAAATTTAAGATTTACAAAATAACAAAAATTGTGTTTCTTTGTAAATTACTTTAAATTAAGAATTCACCATCAAAACACAATTTTCATTATCGTGACTATCAGAACACAGATTGTGTTATTTATAAATTTTAGATTTATAATGTAAATTTAGAATTTACCATTAGAACACAATTTTTCTTATTTCGTAAATCATCGAATTACCATTAAAATAAATATTGTGTGATTCATAAATCCTGAAATTACCATCAAAACACAATTTATTTCATTCGTAAATTCAAGATTTACAAGCAAATATAAGATTTACAATCAGAATACATGTTGTGTTTATTAGTAAATTTTACATTCAAAGTGTAAATCTAGGATTTACTATAACTTGTTTATATTTACTTAACTAATATAAGATAAACATTTTGTAGTTCTGCTCGTAAATCCAGAATTTATCATCATAGATTGTGTTCTTCATAAATCCTATATTTACGTACCATCAGAACACATTTTTTATTCTTTCGTAAATCATGGATTTACATGATAAATTTAGAATTTACTATCAGAACGCATATTATATTTATTCGTATTTTCAGGATTTACAGTGTAGAAAGATAAGAGATAGAGATAGCGTGAAGAGAGAGCCAATGTAAATTTTAAGATTTTATTTTCCTTTTTAAGTAGAGGCATTTTTAGAATATTAATTTAATGTAAATTCTGATTTACACCTATTAGGCCTATTTAATAACTAATTATAAACCTTAACCTATTTATTTCTATTTATTTCTGTTGCCTTTTTAGTCATTCTTATTTCCCTAGTTTATTCGCCCATAAGAGGAGTAAATATGGGTCAGCTAAACCTATCGGTCTTCAATCTGATCCATCTCAAATCTTCGGGCGGGGTTAAGCCTAGGTTTATGGCCCACAAGACAGGCCAGGTTTTGTATCTTTGTTACTATTTTACATTATAGAAAAAATACATGAAATAATAGTTTTGCTACATGTATTTGAATGTATAGTATTTTTTTAAAAATGCCGATAAATTATAGTGTTGCACTCTTAATCTACATAATTATTTGTCTAAAACTCCAAATAGCTCTCGTCAATGACATATTATAATGTGTATCATCCTTTATGGTATCCATAATAGGTTTAAAGACAAGTTTTGTTTTACCTTCCTAATTATATTTACCTCATATTCGATCATCACTTTATTAGAGTAACTACTATTCATACTAATACAAATTTATAAAACCATTAGATGTAACACGAAGTCGTCTAATGGTAAGCACGAGATTACAAAGTCTCTTGTCTCTCCTAAATTCTACGATCTCAAATTTCTTCTTCATTCACTTGGGCAAGTCTCTCTTTTGTGATCTCCCAAATTCTTCCGCTTTGTTAGGGTTTAGTCTCTCTTCTATTTTTTGGACAATTTTCTCATATTCTTCTCGGATCTTCAAATTCCTCCTCCGATGATGACTTTTTTTTTGTTCCTTTGTTATGAATTTTTGGGGAAGATGACTTCTCCTTCTTCTTTTTCATTGCTTATATTTTTTCGTCTTCTTTTTCTAAATTTGTGAATTCTTTTTTTGAGGACTTGTTTAAGTCATAAGATGATTTAGATTATAGAGGTCGGATTCTATAATTAAATTTGTTTAGAGGGTCATTGGCCGCTCCCGAGTGTCAATCGCATTAGTGAGTTAATTCGGGTCGATTTGAGTCAATAGAGCACTAGAACGAGAACGTAAAATGCGGAAAAATAAAGGAACACATGACTTTATAGTGGTTCTCCTGATAATGCAGGGTACGTCGACTGTAGGACTCCGGGGGTTTCACTATCTCTTGTAAAAAGTACAATTACAATTGAGAATGGAGAATAAGGAGAGAAAAAGAAGGAGGGGTTTTAGAAAGAGAATCTAGAAAGTGAGTCTGGATGTGATGTGAGAGTTCAAAGATATCCTAATTCGTGATCTCCATCCCCTATTTATAAGATAAGGTATTCTTATTTCATTTTCTCTTAGGTTTGATAGTTTCCCTTTTCCTTAGTTGACTTTCCCTTTCCTTCTTTCCATATTATATATTTTCTCATATATATTGATCATATTCGTGTCTTTAATGTAAGATTTGACTGAGATAATCTTCATGGCCTCCAAGAAATCTTCTTTTCTTAAATATCGATGGTAGTCCCTACATTCTTTTGATCGTCAGTCTTCTCGAGTCATCTCGAGTCGATCTGGTCTCCAGTTGATTTCAATCGATTTGAGTTGACATTTTTCTCCAAATATTATCCACGTGTAGGGTGATAATCGTGGTGCTGATTTTGATCATAACAGAGATTATATGTCTTTTTTTATTAAAAAAGATTTTTTATTATGAGATTTAAAATTCTGAATGTCATTCGTTCAAAAAATTTGAGATTCTGAAGTACACAAGTAAAAGACAATTTTAGTATATTTTTTCTCTATTATTTATCCTAAATTGTCCATAGTTACAAAATTAGGCCTGTTATGCTTTTGTTGCACGATTTCTTATTGCTTGCATTGCATGGTCTGTGTGCTAGTTTGGTACATTGAATAGGCATGGTGTATATGTTGAGCATTGTGACATTCTTATTTCTCTTGAAGTTTTAATGTCCAACATTAAGGAAGAGCGACTTTTCCACTTTCTCATATTGATGATAGTTTTTTTGCAGATAACATTTAGGGCATGTTTGACAACTCTGTTTTTGAGTGAAAAAAATAAAAATAAAAAATAACTCGAGTTACAACTTTATTCAAGTTCACGTTCTTTTAAGTTTGAACTCGAATTTGAACTTGAGTTTGGGACTAAACCTCGAGTTCAAGTTTCCCCTTCAACTCGAGTTCAGAAACTCGAACTCAAATTAATGAACAATATTTTTTCTATTCTTAAAAATGCTATAACTTTTTTGTTTTAATTCTGATTGAGATGATTTTTTTTCTATGCGTTGACAACGAAAAGACGAATAAAACCAGACCCATATACCCTATTAAAATTTTTCATCAGCATTGAGTTTTTATTAAAATACTATCTAAATATAAATTCAAGTTTTGACTTACTCAAACACAAACTCAAAAAGATTATTATCTCAAACCATAACTCAAATGTACACAACCAAATACAAACTCAAGTTACAACTTCAACTCACGTTATCACTCAAACTCAACTCAAAATCTACACTCAAATTACATAACTTAAAAATGTCAAAAGAACATGCCCTTAATTGTCGTCTTTTTTTTTTTGGATCTGGACGATTGAAACATAGCCCTTTTACGTTCAAATCAATACCAATTCACCAACTGCTTAAACAAGAAATCAATCGGAGCAGCCTAAATTGGACACACCATTTAGCAAATTCCAAGCCTTCCTGTGTGTACCGCGTACAGTAAAATCTCGATAAATGAACTTGTGATAAATTAATAATCTCGTTTAAATAATAAAAACTTATGATCCGACTCAAATTAATGTATTAAATTAATAATATCGCTAAATGTATAAGATAATAATTTTTTTTTCAAATTTTTGGGGCCCAACGAAAATATAAATTAATGATTGACAAAAATATATATAATTCATAATATTAAAGAGTTTTTTTCTTGACAACTTCTATTTTCTCAATTCAACTCTTTTACAAAATATACATTTAAAGTCATTTGTTTTTTCTTTGTACCTAAATTAAACTCAACCTCGTCTTTAATTTTTTGCAAAGAATGCACTACATCTGGTATATTTTTTTCATGTTGTAGCAAGTAGTTATTTAAGGTTATTATTGCTTGAAACACCTCTTTTAAAAAAATATTTGATAAAACACGAATGTCATCTGAATCATGATCATCATTATAAGGTGTATCTATTAACCCTTGAATAATCTCTTCATTAGCAGGTGATTCCATCACTGCAAAATATATATTTTTTTCCATATGAACATGTTAACTTTTACAATTCTCTATGTACACATATTAATTTTTGACCACATACCATTATTTTTGTTATTTATAACTCACACATGAATCTTAATAGAAGAAAAAGTACATGTATGAAAGTAATTAAAACATAAAAACTTTCATAAATCAATAAATTATTCATTTACTAATAAATTAATAAATAATTCATTTATCGATAAATAAATAATCACTTTAAAATAATATTGTTTTTAGTTCCGACAATATTCATTTATAGAGATTTTACTGTCTTACGTTGTTCTAAAAATATCTCAAGTTTGTCCGTGTCTATTAAGAGAAGATACAATTGAATAACAACCTAATATAAGTAGTGTAATTTATTTTTTTAAATAAAAAAAAAAGCCAATGGAAGTGGGGTGATTAGAGAAAAAAAAAAAAGGACCTAAGTGGTGTGAT